GTTAGAGTGTTGTACTAGAACCTGGGAGGCCAAGGTTCAAAAACCCCACTTAGGGACCTTGGGTGACCTTGGGCGACCTTGGGCCAGTTAATGGAAGGAGGGGAGAACCGTGTACTCTGCGTTGTGCTCCTTGGAGGAGAGGTAAGATATACATGCATTAAATCATAACAACTTGGAAAATCTATTCATGACTTTAAGACTTGGAATGCAAGGTCTGTAGCCGAGTGTTAAGAGTGTCTTCTTTGCAAGTAGAAGGTCTGAGGTTCATTCTCCAGCACCTTTAAGGGGGCTGGGAAAGGTGTCCTGTCTGACATCCCAGAGAGCTGCTGCCAGTCAGTGTTGAAAATGTATGCCACATGCAACAGTGGTCTGCCTCTGTAGTGGTCTGCAGCTGTATTCCCTTCTGGGCAACTTTTTAAAGGGGGTTATAGTCTAGTGGTGGGTGGTGCCAGAGACAACAAGCGGGTGGAGTATAGTTTTGGCCTTTGTCCCATTGGCCAGTTTTCTACACACCTTTCTCTATCCTCCATCTAGACAAGCAAGAGGCATCATCACAGTTCAAAGACACATTTCAGCTGACAAAAACAATCCAAGGAAGTTGCAAAGAGACCCAGCAGAACAGAGGTCAGCAACCTTTTTCAGCAGGGGCCGGTCTACCATCCCTCAGACCTTGTGGGGGGCTGGACTATATTTTGACAAAAAAAGAACGAATTCCTATGCCCCACAAATAACCCAGAGATGCATTTTAAATAAAAGCACACATTCTACTCATGTAAAAACATGCTGATTCCCAGACCGTCTGTGGGCCAGATTGAGAAGGTGATTGGGCCGCATCTGGCCCCCGGGCCTTAGGTTGCCTACCCTTGCAGTAGAAGGTGTGGCTTGGAAAGGGGAGGGTCCTGGAGCCCCAAGGGTCTTGGAGGGCTGCATTTGGGGTCTGAGTTTTCCCACTTCTGTTTAAGCACACATGGTTAGGTGTTGGGATAATTTCTGAGAATACAGTAATTCATTATTTAGGGCCCAGCCCTGCCCTGCCAGTCACGCACATATGTCACCTCATTCACAATCCAGTTTTGTGGAAGGCCCTGGAACCATCCTTTTTCAAGCTGAATACTGAGCATGGCAGAGAATGAGCTGATGGGAGTTATAGTGCAAAACCTCTGAAATGCACCCGCTTTGCTAAGGCTTGTTGGTCTAGATCAGGCATGGGTAACATCCGTAGCCCTCCTGATATCGCTGGACTCTCTGTTCTCATCATCCCTGACCATTAGCAATGTTCTCTGTTGTTGACAGAAGTTGAGGCTCCCATGTGCTGAGATGGCAGTGCGAGAATCAGCTTTCATGATGGTTTGCATTGTCAGTTCTAGCCTGCCGCTACATTGGATAATGAGATCCTTCATCGGGAAACCATTTAAGTAAAAACAACAGGCCCTCCCCTGGGATATGTAATGGGGAGATAGCTTAATATACCGGTAGTATGTAATAAGAGGGCCTGTCTTAATCTTGCACAAAACAAGGAGCTGAGATCTCTTTCTGTGTGTGTGTGTCTCAATTCTCTTAAAGTTCCCAGTCTAAGACCCATGGCCATGTGGAAGTGGGCAAAATGTCTGTCTTTTTGGGGGGCATAAAGGAAGCTTTCCATCCAAGACTGCGGCTCTATAGCTAATGAGCAGAGCTGGGCTTTATCTGTCTCTAGGATCCTATACCCCATTAAGAGAGCACCCAGTTGACCTTTGTGGGCTAAATTGCTGGTGACCTCCTTCCTGGAAGCTAACCAAAAGGGATATGGATCACGAGCCCCACACAAAGCTTCTGGCAAGCTTCATCAGAACACATTGTGAGCCAGCCAGTTAACAGTCAGCGGCAAGAGGTCAGCTTCTCGCTTCCACCATATGCCTCGAGGCACAATGGAGCTTTAAAATAACATCCTCTCATTTAAACGCTTCAGAGCAGGAATGAACTCTGTCACCCCCTTCTGCCTCCTCCCCAAATGGCATTCAGATGGGCCTGTGCTTCTCAAAGGTTTCCCAAATTTCTGATAGCTGAGGCACCCTTTGCTCCGCTGAAAAGATGTCCTTTGGAAGCACACGAGGTTCACCCACGTTCCAATAGTGCTTTATAGCCCCGTTACTGATCTGGTTATGCCTCCTAATCAGAAGCCAGAGCAGTGTCTCTATAGGAGGGACAGTAGTTATTAAATTACATCTAGTACTAGGATGAAGCAGAATTAAATTGCATCCAGTGGTGAATGCATCTACAACAAAAGAACGTCTGTTCTAAAAACATTCTAAAATCAGCTGTCAATCTCACTAGAAGGAGCCAAGGCCAGAGCAGTATATCATACAGAGATGGAACAGGCAGCCTTCTGACGGCAAGTGATTCTGTGTTGACTTTGCTTGGGAACAAATGGGTCATTTAATCCTAAACAGTATCATCCACATACAGGAGGAAAAGTATCAGCAGACTTGGGAGAACTCGCAATTTTACGGAAGTATAAAAAAAACAAACCCTTTATTGGGGTGGGGGTCTCCCAAGGGAGTGAGGAACCTGGAAAACATTTCAGCTACAACTGAGCATGCTCACTAGCCACAGACTGTTGACTGGTGGCAAGGGTGAGAATGGAAAGGAGCAGTCAACACTGCAACATTATGTTGTAGGTTGTCATACCTGATACAGAACTAATCCTAGCCTGGAAGAGGCTGATTGGAAGAAACCAAGGGAAGAGCAGTTAATCATACAGAGATGCACTGGCAAACATCCTCTGTGCATTGAAACACAGGGCTTACCATTAGTTGTTAGGAATAGGATTGCTGTTGAAAAGATTCAATGTGAGAAGGAATTTGAGGCTAACAGAGGGGAATATGTTCTGGCAGCTTCTGTTTTATTGCGAAAAGACTTCCGTCTGTGTTCCACAACAGCTTTAAGTGCCGCCAGATATTTGTCTGAGGTAAGATATCTAATAGGTCATTAGGGGATACAGACATTAATTGGAATAATTTACACTTTCCTCTTCTAGGAGACCAGGGCATTTAGTAATACAAGTGTATCTCTGTTTGTGCATGCATGCACACACTTATAATATGTATTAGAGCTGCAACGTTTAGTCAATTAAAAATCTTGCTCACTTAAAAAAGCTTCCTCCGACTAACCAAGTACCAGTGTTTTGTTGTGTTTTGAATAGTTGCTTATAAATCCATAGGTAGCAGACACAAAGGGGCATTTCTACTCTCACAAAGGAGGGAATACCTCTCCTGCGACTGTTCCTGCTGTGGCACTTACCTCCAACATCTTAAAAACAGAGGGATGTTCTCTTTCCGTCATACACACTGCCCATTTCAAGCAACCCCCCCTCAATAATATTGGGAACTGTAGTTTGTTAAGTGTGCTGGAAGCTGTAGCTCTGTGAGGTGTTAGCTACAGTTCCCATGATTATTGTGGGCGGGTGGGAAGGAACGTGCTTTACCGTAAATGTGTGGTTTGTAGGCAACATTACTCTGAATTAAATGGTAGCTCATTAAAACCAAAGCAATAGAAACGTGAAACATTGAGTGATATTAATTGATTGATTGACAAACATTGCTTCCTTGATGGAGTTTGGTGCCTTGAGAATATTTAACCCAGGGCTTGATTATGGCAGGCCTCTGCATCAGTGCATGCTGAGCTGTATGTTAAACACTGGAATAGTTTCTTGAAAACCAGTCCCTTTTGGTAAAACTTCCTCAGTCGGGATGGGAGGGACAGGAGAGCAAACAAGGAGTGCACCCCCTTGTGCATACTCCTCCTCCCTGCTTTGCACCCACACTGTGCTGGAACAAGCATGTGTCGATCATTTGGGAGGCAATCCACAGGAGCTTCTCAGCTTGCCTTGTCCTCCCCCCCCCCCCCGTGTGCCTCCGCCGCTGAGCATACTGCAAGCTCATTCTGCTGTGCGCTAATGCTATTATCCTCCCGAAATTAAATATCAGGCCCAAACCTATAATGTTTCACAGGGTGGGAATTGGGGTTATATATTCCTGGGTAGAAGCTACCTTCTATTTCAGTCATAGCATTTAATTATGATTGGTATGTTAGTGCCCACCAGAGCATAACAAATTGTCATTATGTTATTCTGCTGAGTCTAATTTAATTGGCAAGTTGTCACAAAAGCAATTATCCGTCATTTATTTTGTTGCCATAACCACATCTTGGAGAGCACCTGCTGTCTGTGATGTGGGGCGGTCGGGCGGGAAAGGATCCCCTAAGTTCCCCCCAGTCCTGGATTCCTTCCACTTTCCCCAGCGCAAGAGGCCTTTCCTTTGTTCCTTTTCGGTTTGGCGTTTAAAAATTTGTGTCCTGGTCTAGAAGATGTCACATCCTTTTGCCTAAAAAGTGCATGGCCTTGAGGGAAAATAGGAAATTGGGGAATGGCCCCACAGTGGAGCAGCCGGGTGTGAGAATCAGCTCGAACAGCATTTGGATTAACCAACCAGCTCCGCTCCTCTTGCTATTCGCTTTACTATTTTATTTATTGACAGTGAATAAGTGAATATATTTTGCCGTTCTACTTGGTGCCCATGGAAGACCACAAATAATACTGCAAGTGACACCAATTTAAACTGCCGGTGTAAATAAGAGCTCTAAGAATGCAGCGGTCGCAACACTCTCTGTGTGCCTGGACTTTGTCTTCCTATCAGCCAGAGCTTTTCCGAGGGACCAGGGCAGTGCAGAGTGGGTCAGGCAAGATCTATGGAAGTGCTTTTCGTTTGGATCCCACCCAGTGGTAACACCAATCTATCAAAAAAACAGCAAAACCCTAGGAAAACTAATAGTTTTAAATTTGTTCTTTCACGAATACATTGTGATCTGCAATTGGCTTTGCAACAGGGTGTCAGGTCTTGTAAATGGCTTAAAGGTTTTAAGTGGTATATAAATTTTGTTAAATAAATTGATACTTTAAAAAAAAAAAGATGGAAGCAGAAATACAGTGGTACCTCGGTTTTGAACGTAATCCGTTCTGGAAGACCGTTCGAGTTCCAAAATGTTTGAAAACCGAGGCGCAAAAGGTGGCCTGCAAATTTAATGGAGAAAATTGAAAACAACTCAGCGGAAGCCGTTTGACTTCCGAGGCACATTCGAAAATGGAAGCATTTACTTCTGGGTTTTTGGTGTTCAAGAAAAGAAACGTTTGACTTCTGAGACGTTTGACAACCAAGGTACCACTGCACTGATAGGGCAGGGTTTGCTTGCCTTACTCCATATGTGCTGTTACAAGTACCACATAACACTCATTCCACGTTTGTAATAAGAAACCATTATTTCAGTGTGGCAGCACCTACTCTTTGGAACTCCCTGCCTATTGACACCAGGCAGGTACCTTCACTGTACAGTTTTTGGGATCCACTGAAAAGGTTTTTCAGTAGGAAAGTCTATCTAGACATGCAGAAGCTGAGATTAAAACACTCGTCTTTTTAGCCTATTGTCGACTTCAATTATCCTTTGAATGTTTTCAACTCCAACTCCCATCAGCCCCAGCCAACACGGCGAGCGGTCATGCATGATGGGAATTGTAGTCCAGCAAACATCTGAAGGGCCACGGAGGTTCCCCACATTTGATCTAGGCATTTTATGAACATAACACACTTGGTTGCATTACTCATGACACAAAGGGGGCTTTCTCGCTGCCCTGTATGTGGAATGCCTCCTTCAGAAAGCCTCTTTTTGATGCTAACACTTATTAAGAAAGCTGAACCTTCCCTTGCCCTTGGATTTTTCTCTCAGAAGTGAACCACCCTTGAGGGGGAAAATTCTGCATCCACAGAGTATGAAGAAATAAGATGGAGAAATGGTTTAGATCCCTTCAACCATGTGTGCCATTTGATGGGGAAAAAACCACAAACACCAGAGTACGCTGCCTCACTCCATGCTTTATATTTGAATGGTGTAGAAGACAAGTGAACAAACAAACATGGCTGCTGCCACCATGTCAAGCTCAAATTAAAATGTCTGAGGAAAATTTAACGGCTTTAGACAAATGTTTAAAATTACTGCTGAAGTAGTACTTGAATGGAGTAGACAAGTGAACAAACAAACATGGCTGCCACTGTCATGTCTGAGGAAAATATAACGGCTTTTGTAGAATGTTTAAATTACCGCTAAAGTAACTTAAAAGGTTTTGGGGAGGGAGGGAACTGGTGGCTGCAGTTGGGGGGAAGATGTCACCTCATACACAGAGTTCCCTTTTGCCCTGAACCTTTTTCCGTGCGCAAAAAAAGATGGTTGCATTGAGCTGGCAGAATATGTTTCGTGGGAGCGAGAAGAGAAAGGGGGATCTCAGCCCTGATTGTAATGGCTTGGTAGGAAATTAAAGCTGATCTCCTGGCTCTTCAGAAGAGCTCGCATCTTCCTGATGGGCTCTGATTCCACATTACTGAAAGGGCTTGATTATTATTCTGTGCAAATGAGAAGTAATTCCACCGAAGCCAGAATGGCTGCTTTTTCTGTGGACTTTGCTCCTAGCATAGTTAAATAAATGCTTGGTGGTGCCTCCTTCCAGTCTACATTGCAAATTATTGAGGCCTTAATTGCATCTTCCCCCCTCCAAATTTGGGCAAATTAGCCTGTGTTTGTGTGGCTCCAACTTTTAGCTTGAAATTGTTGGTGTGGATTGTGCCATAATGTCTGGAAGCACATTACTAGGTTTTGGTAATTCGTGCTCTAGTAGCCTCCCAGCTGGATTACTGCAATGTGTTGCACTTGGGGCTGCCTTTGAAGATAGTCCAGAGTTCAACTGGTGCAGAATATGGCTGCCATGATTTTAACAGGGACCACAGGCATCATGAACACATTAATGTGTCCTTTCTGGCTTTCTGATTGTTTCCAGGCTCAATTCAAAGACTTGGTTTTGACCTATAAACTCTGCAGAGATTGAGACCTTGATACCTGGCGGACCACTTCCTGCCCTTGTCCTAAAATAATAAACAGAGGTCCTTCTCCAAGAATCAGGTCAGCCTGAGATATGGAGGGTGCCATACAGGAGGAAGGCTTGGCTGTCCATAGAGGGGTTTGCTTGGTGTTCATCCGGCTGTATTTTCTGTGCCAGGCAAAGACTTTTATTCTCCCAGGTCTTTTAACATAATCTTAAATATCTATTTTGCCATCCGTAGAACTTTTAAAGAATGTGAAGGTTAGCATTACCGTATTTCAAAAAGTGAAAATCTGGACAGAAAAGTCATTGGGTTTTTTTTATAATCTCTCAAAAAAATGAAGATTTCCAGCTATTTTAAAGAGAAATCACCAAAAATGACACTGCCAACATGGGTTCCCATACGTCCAGATTTTCCTGGACGTTTAAGCAATTTCTGCCCGGACACTGTTTGTGACAGCCAATTGCTGGCTATGTTCAGGAAATTTTGGACGTATGGTAATCCTAGTGTAGGTGATCTTTTGAACTACAGTGGTACCCCGCAAGACGAATGCCTCGCAAGACGGAAAACCCGCAAGACGAAAGGGTTTTCTGTTTTGGAGGCGCTTCGCAAGACGAATTTCCCTATGGGCTTGCATCGCAAGACGAAAGCCCATAGGGAAATGCTGGCGGTCGGGAGCAAAGACTTTTGCCCACAGCCGGCCTTCAGAAGAGGACCTCTTCTGAAGGCCGGCGGGGGGCAAAAGTCTTTGCTCCCCCCCGCCTGCCTTCCCCCCGCCTGCCCCGGGCGATCTTAAAATGCTGGCGGGTGGGAGCGAAGCGTTCGCTGCCGACCCCCAGCATTTTAAAATCTCCCCGTGTCCCGGGAAGGTTTTAAAATGCTGGGGGTCGGGAGCGAAGCGCTGCCGATCCCCAGCATTTTAAAATCTCCCCGTGTCCCGGGAAGGTTTTAAAATGCTGGGGGTCGGGAGCGAAGCGCTGCCGACCCCCAGCATTTTAAAATCTCCCCGTGTCCCGGGAAGGTTTTAAAATGCTGGGGGTCGGGAACGAAGCGCTGCCGACCCCCAGCATTTTAAAATCTCCCCGTGTCCCGGGAAGGTTTTAAAATGCTGGGGGTCGGGAGCGAAGCGCTGCCGACCCCCAGCATTTTAAAATCTCCCCGTGTCCCGGGAAGGTTTTAAAATGCTGGGGGTCGGGAGCGAAGCGCTGCCGACCCCCAGCATTTTAAAATCTCCCCGTGTCCCGGGAAGGTTTTAAAATGCTGGGGGTCGGCAGCGCTTCGCTCCCGACCCCCAGCATTTTAAAACGCTGTTCCGAAGGGGGGGGCGGGAAGACCTGCCCCAGCCGCCCCACTTCGGAACGCTGTTCCGAAGCGGGGAGGGGGGGCGGGAAGACCTGCCCCAGCCGCCCCACTTCGGAACGCTGTTCTGAAGCGGGGCGGGGGGCGGGAACACCTTCTGAAGGCGGGCAGGGGGCGAAAGTATTTGTCCCCCCTGCCTGCCTTCCCAGGGGCTTTTAAATCGCCCCGGACAGTGGAGAAGTCCTCCGCTGTCCGGGGCGATTTTAAAATGCCGCCCGCCAGCATTTTAAGATCGCCCCGGACAGCGGAGAAGTCCTCCGCTGTCCCGGGGTTTTTTAAAATGCTGGGGGTGGGAAGAAAAGCCCTTGTCCCCCCCCCAGCCTTCAGAAGAGGTCCGGGGACAGACTGTCCCCAGACCTGGTCTGAAGGCGGTTTCCCTAGGAACGCATTAATTGATTTTCAATGCATTCCTATGGGAAACCGTGCATCGCAAGACGAAAAAACCGCAAGACGAAGAGACTTGCGGAACGAATTAATTTCGTCTTGCGAGGCACCACTGTATTTAATTTATTTTGTCCTTGTGGTTGAAGGTGGTGGGCTGTTTTAGTTTTTGTGGTATTCTTTTAGCTATTTCAAAGTGTAAAGTCATCTGCTATTACTTCTTATTGGGGTTTTAAGGGATTTAAAAAAAAGAATTTCCATGTTGATTTTTTCTGTATTTATCTACTGTATATTGTGGAAAGTGGTTGGTCTGTCAGTCCGTCCATCTATCTGTTCTCTATATGTTTGGCCTCCTCTTGAGACACCATTGTGATGAGGGTTTCTGAGGTGGGGGCAGGGGTCGTCATTGACATTTGGATACTAGCTGCCATTTTGAACCAACATGGCGGACCAAAATGTGACTTTGGCTTGACTTCGCCAAACTCAAAAATTACACTATCCATTTAAAAATCACATTTCTTTGGGTTTTTACAAATTCCTGGGCACTCCCCACTAGTTATAATCTGCAGGTCACCTAGGGGTCCCCTCCCCATAAATAAAATATGTTTTAGGCACATAAATAAGTCCAGATGGCACTGGACTTATTTATATCTAGGTGCAGTCATGAGTTCACTGTATCCTGTTATTGTGAGAGTCAATTAAGTTTTTGTCTATCTTCCTTTGTCCTCTAAGCCTTTCATGATAGCATTCCATTTTATAATTATGATTCCTTTCTCCCCACCACCTTTAGTCTCATTATGATGCAGATAGGAGGTGATTATGTTTTAAGAACATAAGAAGAGCCTGCTGTTTCAGGCCAGTGCTCATCTAGTCCAGCATGCTCACAGTGACCAGCCCGATGCCGATGGGAAGCCTAAAAGCGGGACCTGAACACAACAGCCCTCTTCTCATGTGCAATTCTGAGCATTCTGCCTCCGACAGTTGCAGGTAGAGCATAGCCACCATAACTAGTAAGTAGCCTTTGGGTTGTATTCAGCCAAGTTACATTCATAGACCCATTGGAATGAGCAGACTGGTTAGTCATGCACATTCGTTTCAATGGGGCTGCTCTAAGTAGGATTAAGATTAGCCCAGCCCATCAATAGCTTTATCTTCCTTTGTTTTGCCTGGTCTTCTCCTTTAAGCCAAGTTGATGGCCATCACTACTTCTTGTGGGAGCAAGTTTCAGAGTTTAGCAATGTGCCAGGGAAAGTAATGTGGATTCGGGTGGCGCTGTGGGTTAAAGCACAGAGCCTAGGACTTGCCGATCAGAAGGTCGGTGGTTCGAATCCCCATGACGGGGTGAGCTCCCGCTGCTCAGTCCCTGCTCCTGCCAACCTAGCAGTTTGAAAGCACGTCAAAGTGCAAGTAGATAAATAGGTACTGCTCCGGCGGGAAGGTAAACGGCGTTTCTGTGTGCTGCTCTGGTTCACCAGAAGCGGCCTAGTCATGCTGGCCACATGACCCGGAGGCTCCCTCGGCCAATAAAGCGAGATGAGCGCCGCAACCCCAGAGTTGGCCACGACTGGACCTAATGGTCAGGGGTCCCTTTACCCTTTACCTTTTTAGGCAAAGTAATACTTTCTTTTGCTTGGCCTGAATCTTCCAGCATTCAGTTTCATTGGATGGCTCCAAGTTCTAGTGTTAAGAGAGAGGGAGAAAACCCCTTTTCTATGTGTTTTCTCTATGACTTTTCATTGCAAAATACACCATCATCTCCTTTTTTGGTGCAGGAGAGATATCTTGCATCTGCTGCCAGTTTCATTGAAACTTCATGTCTCCCTCTGTCTCCCTGGAGTTCTAGAAAAAGAAATGCCAGGTATTCTATATTATTTTTGTTTTGAAAGCTAAAGAGGTAAGCTGCTTTGATAGCTGAACAAGAGGCTTGCCTCTTCAGTTTCCTGAAATGCTAACATTGCTTCAAAATGTGATGGGAATTCTGGAGGTTTAGAACAAATGAATAAATTGTTTCCTTGCATTGACTATCTTTGTTTTGCTTTTTGCTAACATTGTAGAGATATTTTCAGTACACACGGGTGGATCTTGCCTGTATATTCCTCTTCCCATTTGGATTACAGGTTGTGTTCTTGTTCCCAAACCTTTCAATATCCTAGCTCCTCTTTGCATTACAAAGAATTCTAATAAATTCAGTGCAAAGATGTTCAGAACAACACACCCTTCTAACCTCCCTCCCCTTAAAAAATAAATTCTGATAAGTAGTGGTTGGCTATATGTATTTGTGCCAGAGAGAGGGGTGGGGAAGAGGGTAAAAATTTCCTAGCCTTCTTTTTTCTCTCATTACTTCAGATTTGATTATTTTCTAAACCAAGGAAATAGCCTAAGACCACGATTTATTCATCAGACACGCGTTGGGGTGATGTAATTCTGAATTGCAAGCGAGGCAGGGGCACCAGATCAGTATAATTCATTCCTCTCTTTCAGACACCAGCCCTCCTGCTGTAAAATCTGCACAGCGCTCTCCCTGCAGAGAAGCTTAATTGTTTCACCTGAGGGGGGGCGGTGGCTTTCCTGTCCCTTTTTATGCAGGAGCGCTCACTTTCAGAGGAGCATCTGCTCCTGTGAATGTGTTTATTATCCCAAAACCTTCTCCTCTGGTTTGCATCGCAGCTTAAAAATGTTAAGAAGTTTGCTGCTGCTAGCCTCAGTCAATAGCTCACAAGTAATATTCAGATAAACCAGCCTCTCTGGATGCAATTCTTATGCTGCACAGACTATGATGGTCTGTGCTCGCAATAGTATCAGGGTGGTTATATGCGACCCTGCGTGTTGTTTGCACCAACAAAAGTTCTGATACAGACACAACAGACTTGTTTCCAGTCAGTGCACGTCCTGTAGCTTCCTTCTGAAACCCTGTAACTTTTCGTGCCCCAAATGTTCCAGGTTATTTTTTTGTCTCACGCTGTTGTGCTGTAGCGCACGAGTGCCCTTCCAGCCAGCAATAATGCAGTAACATTGGGGAAACATCGTTTGACGCAACCATGTGTAACCACTTTGTAAACAAATCACAGTGAATGCTCATTAAACAGCTGATGTCATCTAACCTCCCTACACACTTTCTGCAAATAAAGCAGGATGAACGCTTCATAAACGGGTCTTCTGGAAGCAACCAGAATGTCATTTCTGGCTGAGGAGTGTACTGGGACTACATGTCCCAGCATCCCTGGCGAGGAATCAGGACCAGGTCCAGGTCCAGGGGGTGGGTTTCCTCTGATACTGGGCTGGGCTGACATGGCAGTGAATGCAGTGGACAGCAGCAACTATTGGGTGACAGAGGGCCAGTGTTCGAATTTTCCACAATGTCCCAGAGTAACGCTACTTCAGGGGCATTGTGGGAAAATTAAAATGGCATCTAGAACCAGTTACCGGCTGCTGTTCAGAGCACTGGGCTGCAGAGAAAAAATAAAAGGGCCCCCCAGGGTCTTAGCAGCTGCCTAAGGATGTCAGGGACGCAGGTGGCGCTGTGGGTTAAACCACAGAGCCTAGGACTTGCCGATCAGAAGGTCGGCTGTTCGAATCGCCATGATGGGGTGAGCTCCCGTTGCTCTGTCCCAGCTCCTGCCAACCTAGCAGTTCGAAAGCACATCAAAGTGCAAGTAGATCAATAGGTACCGCTCCAGCGGGAAGGTAAACGGCGTTTCGGTGCGCTGCTCTGATTTGCCAGAAGCGGCTTAGTCATGCTGGCCACATGACCCGGAAGCTGTACACCGGCCCCCTTGGCCAATAAAGCGAGATGAGCACCGCAACCCCAGAGTCGGTAACGACTGGACCTAATGGTCAGGGGTCCCTTTACCTTTTAAGGATGTCAGAGGCTCACAGGAAGGTGATGCTATTTGCATCATTTCCCACCAGTAAAGGTAAAGGGACCCTTGACAATTAAGTCCAGTCGCAGACGGCTCTGGGGTTGTGGAGCTCATCTCGCTCATTTCCACCAGTAGAGGGGGCTAAAGATTAGGATAGAAGGTGTGGCAAACTTACCTGAGTAAAGAGTAGGAATGAAGGAGAAATTCAGGGCTTGTCCACACCTGGGTCTGATTGGTTTCCCCCTTGATCCACACTTTCTAGGCATGGGTCTTATCAGTCTTCTCCTTGCCACGCTCTTTTCCCAGGGAGATCCCGCTCTTTTGTGCTAAATCGGAGCAAACATAAATCTGGAGAAACCCTGAATTGCTGTTTGCTCCAGTTGAGTGCTAAAGAGTGGGTTTTCCATGGAGGGAAGCAGCAGGGCAAGAGGAAATGCAGATGAGCCCTGCATTGGCATTTTAATGTGAACCTACCTAATTCACACTTACTGGACCAAAACATGTACTGAAACACACCTGTCTTTCAAAATCCATAGTTCTCTGAATTTTGTGATGTAGTTCACTAAGCAAAACTTGATTGCAGCTGCATTTAAAAAAATTGTGTACATTAGGAGAAAGTGTGCAAAAAGGGTATGCATTAGAGAAAATAGCATACAAAAAAATTAGGGGGAATTGCTTGCAAAAATGTCTGTTGGGAGAAATGCTGATAATATTTAATGAGGACTTTTTTCCTTTCTTTTTCTTTTAAATGCAAACTGATGCAGAAATTTATCAAACTGAATTCAAGAATGGAAAAATGAGAAACTGAAAGAGCTACTCTCAGCCCCCCCCTCCCAAGACCTGGCTCACAGAGCTTGCAAAAGTTGGTCCCTTTTATTGGACATATGCTTCCTCCTGTTTCTAAGTATGTTGGGCCTTGGCGAGAAATGGCTTCTCTTTGAAATGGCTCTGCTATTTTTAACATAGTTATTCATCCCCATCAGCATTTTGGATGGAAGGAGACTGAACAATAGCAGCCGCCACAAATATAAGATAGGGTGTGGAGGGTGAAATCCAGGAGTGGGAGGCAGGCAGGCATGTTGATCATGGAGAAGAGCTTTACCCATTTCCTGTAATTTGTCTTGACAGGTCAATTCTATTGTTGCTGAGCGGGGGGAAATGTGATTATGAGAGACGCGTTTGCTGCTGTTGTGATTCCCACCCCCCCGACCCCCTGATTAGGCTTCTGTTTAATGTGGCAAATAAATAAATAAATGAAGTGCAGAACATATCTATTCTCAAGAGCCAGCTCCTTGGGAATCCTGCCCTAACCAGGAAAATGCTATAAAAAAATCCTTCTAGTAGCACCTTAAAAGGTAAAGGGACCCCTGACCATTAGGTCCAGTCGTGGCCGACTCTGGGTTGCTCATCTCGCTTTATTGGCCGAGGGAGCTGGTGTCACGTGGCCAGCATGACTAAGCCACTTCTGGCGAACCAGAGCAGCGCACAGAAATGCCATTTACCTTCCCGCTGGAGCGGTTCCTATTGATCTACTTGCACTTTGATGTGCTTTCGAACTGCTAGGTTGGCAGGAGCAGGGACCGAGCAACGGGAGCTCACCCCGTCATGGGGATTCGAACAGCTGACCTTCTGATCGGCAAGTCCTAGGCTCTGTGGTTTAACCCACAGCGCCACCTGCATCCCTTAGTAGCACCTTAGAGACCAGCTAAGTTTGTTACTGGTATGAGCTTTCATGTGCATGCACACTTCTTCAGATACACTGAAACAGAAGTCACCAGACCCTTATATATAGTGAGAGGAGGGGAGGGGAATTACTCAGAAGGGTGGTAGGAATGGGCTGATTGCTGTCAATATCCTGGATCAGCCAGGCTGCAGAGCAAGGTGATCAGATCCCTTCTCATGTTACATCTGGACACATCCACACAATATATCTAGCGCCCACGGATTCTGCCGAAGAATCCTACGAGTGTAGTTTAAGGGCACTGGGAATTACAGCAAGCTCTGAAGGGTAAACTGCAGTTCCCAGGGGTCTTTGGGGGAATCAAAATATGTTAAATGTGCTTTCAGCTTATGGGTGTGATGTGACCTGTAATAATTACTTTGCTTCAGTAGTGGTCATAGTCACAATCTAGGGAGTTACAGAGTGGGAAGATGATGGATTCTAAGCCATGATTCTAAGTTACTGTCCACTAGAGCTATGTTCCACCTGTATGGTCAGAGGCATTATGTCTCTGAATTCCAGTTGCCAGGATTCACAGGAGGAGAGGTTGCTGCTGCTGCACTCATGTCCAGCTTGTAGGCTTCCCATAGGCATCTGGTCATCCGCTGTGAGAACAGGATCCTGGGCAGGAAGAGTCATTGGCGTGATCCAGCAGGCTCGCCTTACGTTCTTAGGACTGTGATAGGGAACTCTGTATAGTTCCAGGGTGTCATGGGCCAGGAGTTGGCTTCACCTGCTGGGCAGCAGCCTGAAGGGGCAGAAGGTGAAGTGACTCCAGCTGCAGCTGATTAGCCTTCTTGCTCCTGATGAGAACCACCTGGCTCCAGCTTTCTTAAGCAGGGTTTCCAGCCTCAGTCAGTTGCTGGGAACAAGCAGGGCCTTGCAGAGCCAGGCAGAGGCCCTGGCCAGGTAGAGAATGTGCCCCCCCCCCATTTTCTTTATCCTGGGGATAACTGAATTCTTCTAAATAAGTAAGTATATAAACAATTTTCACAAAAGTTATGCTGACAAATAATTTTATTTCAAGGCTTGAACTGTATCTGCATATAAAGACAAAATGGAAAATATAGATAAATATTCTGGCCGAGGCCCCCTTTCGAATTGGAGGCCCGGGCCAAGTGGCCCATATGGGCCCCCCTCTGTCTGGGCCTGGAAACAACATTTGTCATTCCTGGCCAGACCTTGCTGCTTCTTGTGACCTTGGAGCCTCGGCTTTCTTGACCCCCAGATCATCTGACTATTGATCATTCCTGACCTTAGGACTGGACTGAACCTTGTATATGGACTCTGCCTACAGGCAAGTATCTCCCCCTGAGACTCAGCCAGTTGGCTGGCTTCTCCCTCCACTGAGCTACCCACTTGTTGGGCTTTTCCAGATGACGCGTTAGTTGCACATTCATTCTGAGAGCCAGTGTGGTGTAGTGGTTAAGAGCGGTAGTCTTGTAATCTGGGGAACCGGGTTCGCATCTCCGCCTCCTCCACATGCAGATGCTGGGTGACCTTGGGCCAGTCACACTTTCTGAAGTCTCTCAGCCCCACTCACCTCACAGAGTGTTTGTTGTGGGGGAGGAAGGGAAAGGAGAATGTTAGCCGCTTTGAGACTCCTTAAAGGGAGTGAAAGGTGGGATATCAAATCCAAACTCTTCTTCTTCTCTTCTTCTGATATGCTTGTGCAGAGGTTATACGACAAGGAACGTTCATCCTGATTTCAATCTGATTAGCTTGCATGGTGGTTGTATGCATCTTCCAGTTGATCAGCTGTTTATGTCAAGGGAAAATGGCTAGGCCTAGACTTTGGTCAAGAAAACTGCTTATATGACAGGGGATGGGACGGGTGATGAAGAAAATGGGAAGGCTCCGAGAACATACCGTCTGTTCTGTAACCACAAGGATATTATTTAAGTTGATGAACGTGTTTTGAGCTTGTGTTGAAAACACATTGTGCAATGAGATAAAGAAGTATGCTAGTATGGGGTTGTTGTTTTTCTACATTAGGTTGGTATTCTCTGCTTAGGGTATAAAAGCTTGTAACACTTGGTTGTTGGGTCGTTTCTCCCTGCCCACTTGTAATAAAGGAACACCAGGTCATGTTCTAATCAAAGCATAATACATGGTTCTTTTCCACAACATTTATCACAGTTTTTAGTGCATTTCCCTCTCACCTTCCTAACTGCAACAAGTCTGTTTCCCCCCAAAGTGGATTTGTTTCAATGGAGCCCTTTAATATACTTTAATTGCACAAACCTACATTTGCAGTATACGGTTGAATCCCTCCCTCACAATACTGAGGGTGCTTCCTGACTGTCACTATTTTTGGATGGGATTCAGTCACATATTGACAAATTCAGCTTGTCAAGTTGAAAGTTGATTGGGAGGTCTTGCACAACCAATCTGTTCCCCGCTACCCAAAAGATCTGACATTTTGCAGTAAGTAGAGTGATAGCAAAATGTACTGGAAAGTGTGAGATACTGCTAGCTTGGTGCAGCATCATATAACTTCCCTGCAGACTTTGTGCAAACTAATCAGGATAAATGCTCAATAAGTAGCTTGTCTAAAAGCAACTCGCATAGACACTGCCTACCAAAAATGTTTTACTTTGTGCTAAAACACTCACCCCCCCATTTAAGCACAGTTCTGCAAATATTTTAGAAAATCTGGGTGCAATATCTTAAGAGATTGAAAATGTATAGTGAACAAACAACTTTCCAAAACATATAGCAGATTAATTCTGATTTGAGTGCACAAAGCTTACTATCTGGTTAGACTATCTCTGGTCTTTATTGAGCATTCATTCTGATTTGTTTATGGGGCAATTATACAACTATGAGCATTCAGCCTGATTTGCTTTCCACTTCCTCCTGTTATTCATCCACCCAGCCCATATTTTTCAATGGATTTTCAATGTTTTCCCCCATCACTTTCCCAAATGCAAATAGTCTGTTTTGTAAATAAAGTGGATTGCGTTTGCTAGGATAACCCAGCACTTTAACCCACTTCAAACAAGCAAACATAAATTACCAGTGCAGGCTTGAATCCCTCTTGCAAATATTGAAAACAAGGCAGCACCTCCCCTGCTTAAAATGTGAGTGAATGAAGCGTAGCAATTCCACACCCAAATGCCTAGCGTGGAAGTACAAGTGTTGAAGTAGGAAGTTGGAAATGCAACAGTTTGGCAGTGATCTCAGTTGGGCTCTCCATGAAAACTCTGGGAACAAGTGATCTCTGAGCTGCAGGAAATGTCCAGTGTGGAAGGAGTACAGACAAAGAAAAAGAAGAAAGAAACCACCTTCCTTAGCAGCAAAGGAAAGCTGGAAACTAGCTAGCACAGGACATTCTCTCTCTCTCTCTCTGGCCTTTTTGGATAAGGACTGCTGGCGTCCTGGGCTAAAGTTCAGCAAGGATGGCATGAGCTAATGTTGTGGAAACCAAGGCTCTTGCTTGACAATGGAGTCTTTATCCGTTTCTCTGTTTGCATCATCACTCGGATGAGTCAACCTCTAGTCATCTAGGGTTTTCGGGAAGCCAAACATCTCACACGTTTTGTGATGGGAGATGCTGGAATAGAAGCAAGTTGATTTGGAGGTTTTGAATCCTGTAATTTAATCACTGGGGATATACAATAAAGCTGGCATATTTTGAAGAAAGTAAACAAGTAAAACAAAAATATGAGGAGAATTGGTTAAATGATTATACCCTGCTTTTCACATGTGCCTCAAACTGGCTTACAAAAAGAAAACATACTCTGTACAAAATTGAAAACATAGTTGAAAGCCTCAGAAAATAAAAACATTAGAACAGTGTGCATCCTGGAACAAATCTGGTTTGACCTGACATCTTACATTTTGCAGGGACAGTGTCTGCCAGGTTTCTACTGGGAGGAAGTTCCAGACAATGGAACTTTTTGTTGACGTGAGTCATGCTTCTAGATCATGGGGGAACCATATAGTTGACTTGGTACCAAAGCAAATAGATTGTGTGTAAACAGGTCTCTTGAAAAAAGAACTTTGAGGAAAGGGGGAGCCGAAAGCTGAGAGCTCATAGTACAAATCTGAAACAAAAAAGTACTTCTGGCTGCAGAGCAATTATTAATACAGCTGGGGGAGATAATGGGTGCTTTAATGAAAACCAAAATTTGCATGTAATATCCTTGTGATTTTCTTGGAGACACGAAGGGTCACCCACTGTTTTAAAGCAATTTTTCATCCTAAAAATCCTTTTGCATAAAAGTAGGTGCTACGAGAAACAGAGATGCCACTCCTGCATTGGATTCTGTCTAGGGTTGTATCAGTGCAGCTCACAAACCTACCTACTTGGAAGCAGAATCAGGACTCCCTTCCAGAGGGGTTGCTAGTAGGGGCTGTGATAGAAAACATCTGGAGTTAGGTGCAGCTTTGGGGAATGACCTGGAAAATGTCTCAGATACCTTTTCAGAGCTCTGGAGAGCAGTAGTACCAGAGGGGCAAGCTGGAGTCTCTATCAAGCCAGAGACAGATGGAGAACCTCTGGAGAAGGGAACATGGGTGCACAGTGATCCCGAATTCCTTAAGGGAGTGAGTACATGTAGGGAAGCAGACCTTGTTCAGTGAACCCCCTTTACCTCAATGTTTGCTTACATAGAAATGTGGGAAGGTCCTGGAAGGGAATTGCAAG